ACCGATCGACTCCGCCCGGGTCCCTTACTCCGTCGGCGTCGCCGTCGGGACGAACTTGCGCAGGACGACGGACTCGCTGTCCGTCGCGAGCTCCGCGGGCACCTCGGAGAAGCCGAGCTTCTCGTAGAGCCGGCGGCTCGGCTCGTGGCTCTTGACCGCCGTGATGACGAACTCCGAGAGGTTGCAGCCCCGCGCGACGTCCTCGGCGGCCAACAGCAGGCGGCTCGCGACGCCCCGGCGGCGGGCCGACGTGTCGACCATCATGTTTTTGCCGAACGCGCGGTCCCTGTCGTCCTCGCCGATGAGCCGCGCGTAGTGGCGCCCGCCGTGGCTCCGCACGGCGCCGGCGTCGTCGCTCGCGCGGGCAAAGAAGAGCTCGAACCAGCCGATCTCCCCCTTGCCGTCGCGCGCGACGAGCTCCACGTCCGCGACGGGGTCGCCGTTGACCGCGGGCGCCGCGGGCTCGCGCGCGAGGACGTCGAAGTGCCACTTCGCGTTGGGCACGCCCCGCGTCATGCGCGCGTTCGGCGGCTTGAGCGCGCCGACGGTCGCCGCGGCGGCGACGACGAGCAGCCGCAACATCTCAATCGTTCTTCTTGGCGACGAGCTTCCGCTTCGCGGTCTGCGCCGTGTCGACGAGCTGGAAGATGAAGACCGCGACGATGAGGCCGACGAACGTGTACGCCACCAGGTCGCCGAGGCCCATGAACGAGCTCTGGCCGGTCTGCGTGCGACGCAGGGCAGGAGCAGGTCGGAGCTCGGCGCAGCTGCAACAGCGTCAATCTCGACCGCAACACCGCCCGCGCCGCCGCCGACGTTAACGCCGACGCGTCTGGTCGTCCGTCGGATGCGCTGGCCACGCACACTCGGAGGTGCAAGAGGCGCACGCGAAAGGAAGACCCCTACGCCCCCGCGCGCGCCCTCGCGCGCTTCGCCGGCGGCCGGTCTCGCCTGCCGCGCGGCGCGCGCGCGCCGTCGCCGCGCCGCGGCCGGTAGAGGCCCGCCTCCGGCGCCTGGGCGTCCGTGAGGAAGCCGACGAGGCGCTTGCGGCTCGGGAGGTAGCCGCGCGCCGCCATGTGGGCCGCGGACGCCGCGCAGTACGTGCCGTTGAGGTCCCCGTCCGCGACGGACAGCGACCGCAGGACCCGCGACCGGCGGCCGTAG